CCCGGGCCGCCGTAGAGGGCGAGGTACTCGTTAAAACGCGTGTTGCGCAACGTGGCTTCCATGTACACGGCGCCATTAGTCGCGTACCGGGAGGCGCACCGTTGTTGCCGGGCCGCCGTGTGCGCGAGCTCCAGTTGTCGGTTAAAGTCGACATAGCACAGCTGCGTGGATAGCCACACGAGCTTTTGCGACTTGGTGGCGCGCAAATTGGGGATCGCATGCGCTGGCGACGTGAGCTCAATGTAGAGCAGTCGGCGGACGTATGTCGGCGCAACGAGCGAGAGCGACGTGGGGGCGGTGTAGAGCTTGCGCATGGCCATCCGCGGTGCGAGCAAGTCGACAGCGCCCGGGAACTGCCGCGTCGTGAGCACGGTGTTGGCCAGGTCCACGAGGAACGCTTCGTAGCCGCTGATGTTGTAGCCGGACCACCACAGATCGTTGGAGAAGCTCGGGCGCAGCAGCACGAGGTAGTAGACGCCCGTGACAACGGCGACGACGACGTACGCAACACCGGCAAGCGTCAACCACGTGACATGGTGGGACGGCGCAGGGCGACTCCAGACGCGGTGCACAGACGGCGCGATGCGAGGGCGTGGGTGGAGTGCACGCATCAAAGCCTTTCTGGCGCGAAACCAACGACCGTCGTAACCGGCCGAGGTTTTGTAACTGCAAGGGTGCACGCGACTATCAATGGTATGTGTCACAAAACACACCTCGCTAAGCAGCTTTTGAAAAACCACGTGTGAAAACGAGAGAAACGTGTGAAAATCAAAAGGCTTCAAACGGCGAGCCCGTCGTCGCCTTCGATCCCAAGTACTCGAAGCAGCCGTTCGGGTTTTACCTCGTCCAGATCGTCGTCTCCGATGTGTTTGCGACGGCACCCGCCTCGAAGCCCTCGGTTTCGACTGCGCTGGGCAGCGTACATCGCGGCGCTGACGGCGTTCAAGGAGCGCTACCCACGTCCCCCGCAACTACTGTGCTGCACCGTCCAGCGACACAGCCAGCGGCGCCTTGGGACGTCTCGTCGACTGGCTTCGCCACCTTCGACCGTCGATGGCACCCGACACGATCGACGCGCTCGACCGCCTCGGTTTCCAGTGGCCGTGCACCGACCTCGATCTCGTGACGCCGGCGACGCGACTGTACCAAAAGCTCGCATGCTTGAGGGAAATGGTGCCAGCGGAATTTGTCGTGTCTCGCAACAATGCGTGGCCGACATATCTTCACGGCGTCGCGCTCGGAAAGCTCGCAGAGGAGCTTCGGGTACATCTTGACTGCCAGCGCGCCACGTGCGCGTCGAGCCTCGCAACTGCTGCTGGGATCGACGACGACGCATCCGACCCGTCGTCTCCCGCTGCAGTGTTTACGCCGGCGACGATCGAATTCGGTGCTATGCCGCAATCCACGGCGGCGACGACGTCCCAGTGCTTTTTCACGTGCCGAATCTGCGTCCGTGGCCAGTCGAAGCCGCTGGGCTTCTTTGTGCACGAGAGCCAACGCGCTCCTCCCGAGGGTCGCCGTCCTCCGTGTGAAACCAGTGGGCCCCATGGTGCAAGCGCCGAATTCGACATGGCGGAATTCGACGACGGCATCGACATGGCAGACGATGCTTGTGCTACTGCCAACGTCGCCGTATCCGACGACGGTACGCGTGCGAAGAGTCCTCGCGAGGACGGTTCTATGAGCATCGACGCCGACAACGATGACTACGACCTGGAGACTGCCATGTCCTCGGACGACGACGACGACGATGCTTTTGGCGACGACGACGCGGCTTTGGCTATCGCACCCGAGGCTGTGTCCCAGAACGAGTGCAGCACAATCCTGGATACCAGCATCGACGTACCGAGCCCCAAGCCCTCAGACAAGAGCGACGCGCCAGGTGCGGAAGATTGCGATACCACGCCGTCCCCGAACGAGCTTTCATTGCCCGCGAGCTTTGATCGCCCAGACGCCATTTGCACCACACCACAAGGCGAACGCGCGCCTCCGAGCCCGAAGAGCCCATCGCGACCCACCGCTGAAGAGAGTGCGCTTTTAGCAAATGAGATGGCTCGGAATTGCGGTGCCTCGGCGACGTCTGTCCGCATCGAGACATGCACTTTGCAGCCCACGACCAGCGCCGAATCGACGATCTCGCACGACGACAGCTGCGACCCAGCGATCGTCTCGCTGGCCCTCAAGAGCTTTTACGCTTTATACTCGCATCAAGTCATCCCGATCGACTTTTGCGTCCCACGCCAAGACGCTCGGTGGCCGCGCGTCTGTTGGGGGCTGGCGCTAGGCTCGCTCTGGGCAAGAGCAAGAACCGAGGCGCCAGTGCCACCTCCAGATCTGGCGCTGACGATGCAGGCTCTCGGTGTCTACTACGAGATCACGGGCCCTTTGCACGTCTCGCCCAGCTTTGTCGTGCCATCCAATTCGACCAAGTGGCCGCGTCACTTGTGGGGCCTGTCGCTTCGACTACCTCCGGGCACCGAGACGCCGTTTGGTCGCTACCACGGTCCCGACGACGTCAGCGTCGACTGGGCCGCTTGATTTCTGGCGCTCGAGACGTTCCAGTTGAGAGAAGGCCATTGCTGCGTGCCTGATGCGTACATCGTGCCGCAAGACGATCGCATGTGGCCTCGATCACTGTGGAAGTACCCTCTCGGCTCGATCCTGCGCAGTATCCGTGCTGGCCGCGTTCGTCTGACGCGGCTTCGTTTGCAACAGCTCCTCGTGCACGACTGGTTCCTCTTTCCAACACCGACGCCAGACAATATCACATCTGGAGATGTGATCTGGTCGTCTCTTTCAGAAGTGTAATCATCTGTTTTTGCTTGTCACTGCCCACGGCGACGATCAAACCTCGTTCCAAACGTCTATTAGGGACATCCACACGGGATACTATCAACGTATCAACTAAAGATCTTGGAGGCAGAGTGCGACGACGTCGGTGACGTGGCGTCGTCAAACGTGTGCATGGCCTGGACGTGGTGGACGAGCGCGACGGCATCGAACGATTTAAAGTGGCAGTGCGGACACGCCGTCCGCTGCGTCTCGAGGATCTCGCGGCTCTCGGCGACCGTCGGCGCGTGAGCGCTCTCGACGTGAGCGAGCAGCAGCACCGGATCTTTGGTGCTGAACCGGCAGTACGGGCAGACGTGGCGGGAGAACATGTTGCGCACGGTTGTCTGCAGCGCTTCGTAGTCGCCGTTCTCGTTTCTCTGGCGCCGAGAGAGGACGATGCACGCAAAGGCTGCCAACAGCAGCAGCAAGACGCCGCCGATTACGCCGACGACAAGGACCCACGACCCGACACCGGTCTCGTCGGTGGATGTCGTTGGCAGCGGCGGCGCTGATCCGAGCGTTGCGGCGCCGAGGATGGCTGTCGACACGATCGAGTAGTCTTGCGCGGACGCTTGCAGCGCGCCCGTGACGCGCACTGTGACGACGAGCGGGCCAGATGCACTCGCACTCCGGGCGGCGAGGCCCGAGAGCGTCTCGTACGAGACATCGATCATTTCAATGTTGTTGACGCTGTCCCGGCGCTGGCCGTTGGTCGAGAGCGGGAACACCACCTTGTTCGTACCCGGGAGCAGCACCGAGAGGTCGAGGTCGTTGGTCAGGAGCGACGTGCTGCGAGGCGCCGACGTCTGCGGCGGATCGGTCCACACAATCTAGCACACGCTTCCGAGCATCTCGAGGCGCAACGTAGAAGGTACCGTGACTCGGAGGCGGTCGCCGGGCGAGACACGGACGCTGTAGTCGTGCACATAGCCTTGCGAGAGCGACGGCACCATGCCTACATCGCGTTGCATTCAAATCGAGCAATGTTAGACGGGATTATACCCGTGTGGTTAGGGTAAAAGTAGACGGTTGGCGACGTCGCCGATGGCCAAAGGGTCGCGATGTTCGGTCGACCGTAGCCTTGGCGCGGGTCCGGATACTGTTTGAAGAGATACATGCTCTTCTTGATCGCGTCGCACGTCGACGTCTACGCATCGTCGGTTGAAGGACATTTTACAGGGCGGCAAATGCTACCGAAGACATGTCGGGCAGCCGCCGGAGAAGCGGCGTCGCGCTGTGCAGCAGCAGCGCCTTGAGCAAGCTCGACGGAATCGACGACATGGCGAACGCCGTTGATGCGCGCCCGTCGACCCAGTATCCGTCCCGTAGCCACGTGTAGAGGAGTGTCGCCATGCCCGAGACGACCGGTGTCGCCTACGAAAGAGCCGCGTTGAAGGCGGATGCTGTGCGTGGGGGATTTGAACCTGCGACGTGCCCTCAAGCCGGCACATGGATGCGTTGCTCGTCGCGTTATCCATCGGGAAGGACTTGGCCGACACGAGAAAGCGGCCTGGTGCGACCTACACCCGCGGTGTCAATACCAAGCATCGCAACTGGGAGCTACGAGGTCGGGTTTGATGCGACCGTCGCGCGTCGGGCCCATCGACGAGTAAAAGGCCAGCGCGTCCTGGTTCAGAATGTCTTGGCAGTTGGCTGGCTGCATGTCGCTCGCCTCGGTTGCTACGTGTTGCACGTTCCACCACGTCGGACAAGTGTTGTGCAGCGGCGGTGTACCTAGCGTAGTGGTGTCGGCCAATGACGCGCCGACCGTGAGGCTGTTCTTCGCGCCGGCCGGACTCACGATGGACGTGGCGCCGTTGCCACCGGCGTTGCCAGCCGCCGTGACGAGCAGCACCTCCGGGTGGTCGTACAGGTACTTGTCGATGGCCCGCGTGCGCTACCACCATAGTGTTGTTGCCATGGGCACAGTAGAGGGCGCGCGTCGTACGTCGTAGTCGTCGGTGGTCGTGATGAAATCGCTGCCGGTGGACGCTGTGCCCCACGAGTACGAAATGACTTTGGCGCCGGCCTTGGTTTGGTTGAGGAAGAGAGCTACGAGAGCGATATTCCACGATAGCAGGAGGCAATGGACAGCGCTGTACCGTCGGGCGTCGTGGGCACTCGAAGCACCACGGCGGACGGGCACGGCGGCGTCGTGCAGTCAGTCGCAATGTCGAGAAAGGCGATGCGGGCGTCCGGCGCGACGCCCAGCGCGTACGTCGACTCGGCGCTGCCTGCGAGGATCCCGCTCACGTGCGTTCCGTGGCCACACGCCTACACAACGCTAGTCATGGACGCGGCGATGCGAGAAGATACGTGATCCGGTTCGTTGGACTGGTCCTTCCCGTCCGCAAACGTCTCGTAGTGCACAACCTTGCGCGCCTTGAGGTCGAAGCGGTTGTAGACGCTCGACGCCTGCGCGAACTGGGCGTGCGCCATGTACAGGCCCGAGTCGGTGACGCCGACGACGGCGCCGGTGCCCGTCCTACCACGCCACCGATGAGAGAGGTATCGCCGGTCGCTGCAGACGCACACGCCATGGCGGTGGAAGGTGCTAATGCCCATGAGGTCGAAGATGTGCGCCAGCGGCGACGCAGCGTCGGCGGTCGCCGCGAGCGCAGCCAGAAGCGCGAGCCGGTGCATGGTTCCGTGTCACGCGAGCGTCTACAGCACCGTACATCGTACACGTACCGTACGTACATTCGCACGGCCGTCAAAGCTGATACATTCTTCAAGTCTTTATATGGAGGCATTGACGAATTGTAATTCAATACAAATACCAAGCGTAATATTTAGCAATAATCCGGTAGCGTACGTACATTCAATGTACGACCACACAACCCGGTGCGACCTGATCTGTCCATACTCGATAACTACTAGCGGTACTCGTACTAAACTTTTAACAGTGGCTGGATAGTGCTTTAGTAGAAAGCAAGCTAGGAGAGCTCGAACCCGGCCTTGCTTCGGATCGCGTACAAGAGCTTGGCGCGCATGACGTCCTTGGACGAGTACGTCGGCAGCTTGAGGAGGTTCATGCACGTGGCGCTGGACGGGAGGCGCTCGTCGTCCGAGATGCGGACTTGCTGAATGCAAATGAGCGGCTGTAGCTGCTTGAACCCGAGCAGCGGCTGTCGCGAGCAACTAGATCGAGATCTTATATCTCGTCGAGTGATCCGAGTCACTGTACCTCGTGATGAACTTGAGGAGCTCGCCGCGGTCGTCGGGCGAGAGCTCGGCGACAATGTCCCAGAACCACTGCACGATCGGCTGCGACGGGTGATACCCGCCGCCGTAGTTGGTGTTGGCCTTCCAGTCGTCGACGTCAACGTCGCGCGTCGCGCCGCCAATGAGCATCTGCAGCTCCGTCTACACCGCGCATGAGACCGCTTCATTAGCACGCTCCATACGGGGCTAAACATCAAGAGCCAGAGCGACGGCAGGATATCGTGGAAGCCTTGCAGGAACGCGTGCGTTGCCGGTGCAATTTGCGCGTTGAGCTTGAAGTTGGCGAGGAGGTGGATGTACCGGACGTACGTGGCCGCCGTCACGGGCGTGGCCTGCCCGTTCGGCACCAGCTCCTGCACATGCACTACGCGCAGAATAAGAACGCAGATGTGTAGCTTGAACGTACTCGCGCCGTTGCGGGACGTGGCGACGCTGAAGGTGAGGCCCATGTCGTCAATGAGGCTCGGCGTCTGCTTCATCTCTAGAATGTGCCGGTACAGCGTCGCGTCGAGCGACTGGAGATCGTCGAGCGAGTTGAGCTGCCCGAGAAGCTTTTGAAGGAAGAACGGTGCGAACGGCGGCTCGATCAAGATGCCTTCGTACAGCGCCTTGGCGAGGACGCGGCCGAGGAACCGGTAGTGGCGGCCCGGGTCGCTGCCTACACTCGACGTCTCGCTCGCATAGATTTGGCGTCCAGCAGCGTACCAAAGAGGAAGGCGGCGCTAGGGTTCGGGTACAAGAGGCGGTCGTCCGTCGCGAGGAAAAACGGGTGCTACGCAAGGCTTGAAGTGCGTAGTTACGGGGTCGTCTACCTCAGTCGAGAAGGCGTGCTTGGTGAGCAGGTCCATGTACTCTTTAAAGACGCCGCCGCCGTCGACGCCGGCTTCGTCGAGACCTTGGGCGTTGACAAACGTCACTTGCATGCGCGACTTGAGGCCCGCCGCGCCTTGCTCGACGAAGATGCTTTCGAATGCCTCGAAGCTGTCGGCGATCATCGCGTCGCGCCGAATGCGCAGCGGCCGGAGCTGGCTAAAGACGTGGCGGCCAGGAATGTGCGCCTTCTCCCGATCGATGCACTCGGTGAAGAACTGGACGCGGGTCGCAAACGGAATCGCTTGCGGCAGCGTCGAAAGCACAAAGTGCAGCCGCCCCAGCAGCGGCGCCTCGAAAAACTCTCCGAGCGAAATGCCGTCTTCGGCCGAGAGCTCGAGGCCAAACTGCTGCAAATGCAGCACGGTCGGCCACACCCACGCGTCCGGCCGCGCGCAAAACTGGAGCCGCGTGTTCCGCACAAACAAGAGGTTCCAGAGCTTGATGACGAGCCCGAGGTCCAGCAGCGTCATGGCCGAGACGGGCCCTTGCGGCAGCCAGAGCACGTGGTAGAGGCGGAGTCGCATCGCGTCGACGGCGGCCGGTAGAAAATCGACATGCGCCTGCAGCGAGAGGTCGTCCGACGTGTGCAGGTACTGCACAAAGGCGCCAGCAAAGAGCACCCAGAGCGGCGCGGTCGTCGGGTCGCTTGGATGGCCCAGCGCGCCGAAGAGACCGCGCAGAACACGGCGCTCCGAGAGAGCAAACAGCAAGGACGAGAGCGTCGTCGGTGGCACGAGCATCTGCGCCGAGAGGAAGAACTCCCGCGCCTCGAGACACAGCGGCGCGTACACTCGCGTGCACACATGGACAAAGTGCTTGGAGCCCGGGCACAGAAGCTGACTCAGCATCGTGTGGTGCGTCCAGAGCGTGAGCTGGTCCGTGACGCCCGGCGGCAACGACGCCGGTGCATTCGCATCGTCGCTCTCCGAAGCAGCGTCGGTTCCCAGACGCCAGTACGCGCTATGGAGTACGTCCGGCGAAACATACGCCAACAGCACGGCGCGGTGGTCGTCGTTCAGCGTCAGCGAGAGCTACCTCGGGCTTAGTGCATACTGAAGCAAAAGGGCAGGTCGTACCGCCAGCTCGAGAAGGTTGCCCAGCACGATCGCGCGCTGCTTGAGCGGAAGGCTCACGTGCCACTGCGTCTCGTGGGCGAGCGCGGGCCACGAGAGCGCAGTCTCCAGCCACGTTTTCTAGAGACAACGCGTGAGCTCGATCCTACGACGATAGAGCGACGTACAAACTGCGGCTCGCGGGCGGCAACCGGCGTCGTCAAGAGCGTCTGCGCAAACGTCGAGTGCAACGCGTCGGCGTCGAGAAGCTGCGACAGACGCGGCGCCACGATCGCGTACACTACCAGAACCGGTCAGCGATGATGCTTAGCCACGAGCACGTACACGTCGTGTGGCGCTGCTGCACCGCGGCGACGACGACGTGGAAGAAGCTTTGCGGCGAGGGTATCTTGGCCCAGTGCGATATCGTCGGCAGCGAGAGCCGAGGTAGCACGGCCAAGAGCGCGGGGCTTGTCGCGTCCACGCGGAACGCAGTGGCACACAGCACCGCCAGACGCCGATGCCACGCCAGGGCCACCGCAGCATCTGCTCTGCAAGCGTCGTCGAGCGAGGTCCATGCTTGCAGCAGAAGCTCGAGCAGCGCCGTCGTCGTCGTGCTGGGAAGGAACCTCTGCACAAACACGGCCTCCTGGACAAGCCGCGTCAGCACAGGCAGCGGCACGACAAAGGAGTATAAGCGCTGGAGCGCCGCAATGTCGTTGCACTTGGCCATCACGGACGCGAGGAGGCTCTGCGTGACCGCACGCCGGGACCGAACGCTGCGGTACCAGGCCTGGACCTTGGTGCTGTTGATGTGGAAGGTGCGCTTCTGGGCGCGCTCCATGCGCTCGCGCTGGGCGGCGGCGATGACGTCTTTCTTGGACGCAGCGACGTGGTCGCGCCGCCCGCTCATGCTCACGCGCGGCGCCCGCGTCGACTTGCCGTCAAACATATCTTGCCGCTCCGTTGCCAAAGCTGTATTGCGACTAATCGACTAAAACGGTCCGGTAGTCGGTCGCTCAACTGGGCAATTGGGTTTTACGCTTTGTCCCAAATTGGGGCGGGTGAAACCTATGCACACAGCACAAGCAGCTACCGCTGCAGGACAAGGCTGCTCTGCGATGGCATCTTGCCGCTCGCGCAGGGGGATGCATGTTACCAAGGGAATTGAACCATTTCCTGGGAGGCTCCATGGTCAACCGGCCTTGGGCAGAAAAGCCAGGCGCCAGAAAAGTGTCCAATCGCAAGGCCGCACGTCATCTTTTTGGCCAATGGCCTTGCGGCGTCGGTGGCGGATCTTGCGATTTTATCACCGCACGACCAAGTGGCGACATGGACTTCCTCCGGTCCGTCGAGGAGGACCTGCATGGCCTCATCTACGAGACGAAGAAGAAGCTGCCGGCCGTGCGCGACGCGGCCGAGAAGGGACTCGAGCAGATCGTGCTCATGCGGCAGATGTACGCGCAGTCGATGCGCGTGGAGGCGGCGCCGGGGCCGGGCCACGCGGTCTTCAAGAGCGATGCGATCCTGCAGCCCTTCTTGCTCGTGTGCAACCACGCGACAGCGAGCCAGAAGCTGCTCATCTCGTGCTTCAACAGCATCCAGCGCCTCGTGTCCTGGGACGCGATCACGACCGAAGCCGTGAGCAACATTTTGCGCGTGCTCCAGATCCAGGCCGAGCGCAACAACAGCCAAGACGTACGCGCGCAGCTCGCTACAACCCACTTACCATTTCCGAATAGATCCAACTCAAGCTGCTCCAGACACTGCTGCAGCTGCTCACGCTGGCCTTTACACACGGCGACGAGCAAATGACCAAGGACGACCTCATTAGCCAAGCCATGTGGATCTGTCTGCATCTGCAGAGCCAGAGCGGGAACCCGATCACTGCCAACACGGCTGCGATGACCGTGCGGCAGATCGTCACCATGGTCTTTGACAACGTGTTGCACCATGCGAGCTCGGGCGACGAGGTTCGGACGCGTGCCAAGAACGTCGGGTTCCTCGTCTTCCAGGACCTCTGTCTCATGAGCCGCGAAGAAGCCGGCGTGTGGCTCAAGCGCACGACGTTTTCCAAGCTCCTCGGCGTCGAGCTCGTCGAAGCCGTCCTCACGTCGCACGCCGGTCTCTTCCGCGACGACATTGAGTTTCGCAGCATGCTCAAGCAGCACATCAAGACGCTCGTGACCATGAACCTCGACAGCCTCTTGGCGCCGACGGCGGCTGCCAACCCGTCGACGTTTCCGCTGCTGCTGCGCATCATGCGCCTCGCGGGCACCGTCCTCTCGCACTTTC